AAAAAAAAAAAAGAGCCAGGGCAAGTTCCTAACTACTCTGTGCCTCACTCACCTCATCTGTAAAGTGGGGCTACAAATAGCAGTGGCCGTGGTCCATACAAACCCTCAGAAGAGGAAGGGCACCTACTCATTTGCTAAATGAATGTTCAATTCTGTTATCGAGCCTCCACCATGGGCCAGGCCTTCTGCCCAGAGCCTTTCCAGATTTTCTCATTTCTTCTCTAGGAGGGAGGGAACACCAGCCCCATTTTCCAGAGGAAGAAACTGAGGCTCAGAGAGTCTGCGTTCCTTGCTCGGGTTGCCCCTTGGGTCAGCCAGACCCAGCAGCCTGTGCCAGGCCTGCCGCTATACCCAGTTGTTCAAGGGTAGGGAGCCTTGCAGGTCACTTCCAGTCCCAGAGAAGTGGACCCCAGTAATCCCTGGGGTAGAGGATCTTCCCCTGTATCGTGGAGAATTTATTGAGTGCCTGTATATGCAGGCACTGTTGATACAGCCGTGGACAAACAGACGTGGGGGCGTTTACATTGTTTGTCTGTGCTGGGAGGTCTCTTCCCACACACAAACCTAACCCTCCCAGCCCTGGTAAGGAGGAACCACTACCTGCCCATTTTACTGGTGGGGAAACTGAGGCTTCAAAAGGAGAATGGACTTGCCCATAGTCACGTAGCTGGGCTATGAGCTCCTAACCACTCCCCCACCACTCACCCTACCTAGATCACCCATCCCCTCTCATCTCGGGCCCCTGGCTGTGGGCTGCAATGACGCCAGCCCCGCCTGGGGATTCAGGTAGGAAAGACAACCGGCCCCCCAGGCAGGCTGGGAAACCGGAGATGTGGCCGGCAGAATCGATCCAGGCTGCCCGTGCCTTATTGGATTGTTCCTGGCTCCTGGGCCCCCCTTCACCCTCAGCTCCTCCCAGAATCCTCTCTTCTTTGCCCTCCTCTGCCCCAGCCCCCTCTGAGCAGAGCCTGGGAGGCCAGGGAAGAGAGGAGGAAAGGGTGATTTCAGAGCCTAGTTTGTTATCTGGGCTCCTGAGCTGCTCAGACACAAAGGATTAGAAGCAGGGGGGACTTCCTGGCCTGAAAGAGGGGGCCCATATCCTCAGGATGGGGAGCAAGGAGGCCCTTACTGTTGCTGTCCCCAGCGCGAGCTTCCTGCTGTTCCCCCCCAACTCCAGGTAGCTCAGGATGAATTCACTCCCCTCTGCAGGAGCACAGGACCTGGGGTCACTCCTCTTCTTGTTCCCCTTCTTATGGACGGGCGGCCCTCTTGTCTCCTCAGTGTATCTCTGGGACCAGCTGGAGGAGGGGAGCCTGGGGACGCTGCTGAGCTTAGAGGAGCAAATACTCAACTCGACGTTCGAAGCTTGTGACCCCCAGAGGACAGGTGGGGGACAGGATGAGAGCCTGGCAGCCCTGGGCCTGGGAGACACAAGGAATAATAAGGGACAGAGATGGGGAGGCTGGAAACTGGGGAGCCGTAAAGAGAGGGATGGGCTAGGGCCCTTTCTTGGGGGTCCTACAGACAAATGGGTGATTGTAGGAAGCTTCTGGAAGGATTGGATAAAGGGACCGAGGCCTTTCAGGGTGAGGACATTAATGGAAGAGGGTAGGGCCTAGGGGGAGGGAGGGAGGGCAGCCACTGAGGGCCTGATGGGGCATAGCAGGTCCT